AGAATATTTTACATATGCATATATATATATATATATAAAATTTATTAAATATAAAAAATATATTTTTTACACATAAAATGTTTTTTTATTGAAATAATCACGATTTTAAATGTGATATAACACAGTGTTCAAAAATTTTTAATTAAATTTTATTAAAGAAAATTACTTGAAATTTTTTACATTAAGAATTTAAAGGCTCCTTATTCTCTTGTAGAAATTTATCACTATGCCAATTAATCACTTATTTCGAGTATTTAAAATACTATAATATACAGTAATTTAAGTATTCGAAATAAAAGTGATTAATTACTCGAAATAAAATTGATAAATTGGCGTTACTAGTAATAAATTTCTATAAGGGTTGAAATAAAGTATAAGAGATAAATAGGCTATATGTGAGCCGTATGCGAAATGTGAGATGTAAGACGCATATTGAAATTTAATTTTTCGATATAACTTTCAAAAATGTACACGAGGTACAAAAAATTAGCTTGGACATTTGTAAGACTTAAAATTGGGATTAATTCTCAATTCTATTAATTAAATTTCGATATAACACACCTTACATCCGCGCACGGCTCACATATAGCCCATTTATTAGTGCAATTTTTAAGTTCCTTATTTTTCAAAGTTCACCTTTTTACGTTATCAAATATTTTTGGTACGTTTTCAAGAATTTTATATTTTTACTTACCGCAGTTTCTTATCCAAATGTAAAATCTTTTATCGCAGTCTATAAAAAATTGAAACAATTTACAATTTTATGATATAATATTATTATTATTACAATTTCTATATATATGCACATCTGTCAAATATCGTGATTTATTTCACATTATTATTATCTATTTTAATAAAAAAAAAAAAAAAAACACTTGCAACAATCAAAAATAAACCGCCTGCCGCGAACGGAAAATGCCAAGAAAGCACGCAATTTCCGCGAATCTCGTAATTTTTTTGAAGAATCAACAATTTCAACGAAATTGTAAATTCTTCAAATCACTGCACAAGTATAATTCACAATAATAATTTTCAGTAACTACGATAAAAAATCGTATACTGAAAACCGCAAACGAAAGTGCAATGGAAGTAAGAGTAAAGTCTGTGATAAAATTAATTGGCAATAGAAAATTAATAATTTTCAAATAGAAAAATTTTGAAATTACCGAGGATTTACAAATAATAAAGTAAAAATATTAAATAATTTATGTTTTCGAATTTTGCTCGCGGAGAGGATCTTTAAAACAAGATTTTTAGAAGAGAGGACCTTTAAAATATAAACAGGCAAAAACGTTGGAAAAATTAAAGCGCGCGTTTAAACAGATAAACGCAATGAAATAGATACGCAATTGTTTTTACTTATCGCTGTAAGCTCACAAGCTTCTGACGTGCTATACACTTTTATATAATATATACAGGGTGTCCGGTAACTAACGGACCAATGATTAAGGGCGGATTCTCTGGCCAATTTGGAGACGATTTTTCCTTAGCAAAAATGTAGAGAAGTCAATAATTTTCGAGTTATAAGCGATTGAAAAAAATAGGTTTTTTGAAAACTAAACGTTTTGGAGTTAAAAGTCTAACATAATTACATTCTTCAGTTAATTTCAGGTAGAGTTTACTATAATAAAATTTTAATTTAAGGCTTAGTTATAAAGATATATAATGACAAAGATTGGAAAGTTGTAAAAAATGATGACCTTTTTCGACATTTTCGCTGAAGAAAAATCGTTCCCAAATTGACCAAAGAATCCATTTGTAATCATTGGTCTGTTAGTTACCGGACACCCTGTATATTGGACACGAGTTTCGTTTGTTTCAGATTCTCGAGAGTTGAAGTAGGAACATACGAGTATCATATATCGTTTGTGACTTGCCGAATGAAAGCAAGACAGAGAGCGAACGAGATGATGAGCTTAATAGCTCATAATGTTATAAATAAATAAATAAAAAATTATAACTTGACCTACTAGTTATTGAATCTTTTTTTAATAAAATGTTTCATTATTATTATCATCTAAGTCTAAGTCGTTTAATTACTTTTTAGTTTTTTAATAATTAATTTAATTTATTCTAGTCATTTTTATATGAGAAAAATAATATCACGTATACGTTTTATAATGAATTAATATATTTCGGGAACCGAATTATATATTCTTAATAATATTAAAGTGTTTAAAAATTATATTTGACTTTTAATTTTAATTATTTTTTAGCAAAGAGTTTCGAAATCTCTTACACACATAATGGGGATTTTTTTCATCCATATATTCGCAATTTAGTATATATGTTAATTATTAATTTTAATAAAATAAAAATTAAAATTAAAGGTCAAATATAATTTTTAAACACAAATATATTAAATTAATTATAAAACGTATACCCATGATAGTATTTTTCTCGTACAAAAATAATTAGAGTAAATTAAATTAATCATAAAAGATTAAAAATTAATTAAAGAATTTAAACTTATATTTTATATAATAATAATAAAACATTTTATTACGTCAAACCGTCGTGAAATAATTAAATAAAATTTGCTAGTTACGTCGAAGTCAAGTTTTCTAAGCTTATAAAACATTTTATTAAAAAACAGATTCAATAAATATAAGTACATGTTATATATATACTTATATTTATTGAATCTGTTTTTTTTATAAAATGTTTTATTATTATCATATAAAATATAAATTATTTAATTATTTTTTATTTTTTTATGAGTAATTTAATTTATTCTAGTTATTTTTGTACGAGAAAAATACTATCACGGGTATACGTTTTATAACAAATTAAATATATTTATGTTCAAAAATTATATTTGACCTTTAATTTTAATTTTGTATTTTATTAAAATTAATAATTAACATATATACTTAATTGCGAATTATATGGATGAACAAAATCCCTATTATGTGTGTAAGAGATTTCGGAACTCTTTGCTAAAATAATTAAAATTAAAAGTCAAATATAATTTTTGAACACTTTTATATTATTAAAAATATATAATTCGACTCTCGAAATATATTAATTCATTATAAAACGTATACGTATTAGTATTTTTCACATATTGAAATGATTAGAATAAATTAAATTAATTATTAAAAAACTAAAAATTAATTAAACGACTTAGACTTAGATGATAATAATAATGAAACATTTATTAAAAAATAATTATAATAGGTCAGGTTAATATTTTATTTATTTATTTATTTATAACATCATAAAATTCTGTCCTTTCCGAAATACGCGAACGCTACGAAAAGATAAATCTCGTACATGCCGCCGGACGAGTTCATGAGCATGAGACGCTCTTATCTTGGGAACGTATTAATAGTTACTGCATTGACCACTACTACAATATGGCGCTGAAATCAGTGAGAAATGCTGGTCTCTCCTTCATCCAGACCTTTGGCGATCTGTCTATTAATCTGTGGTAACACATGGAAATCTTATAAGATGAATGCTGTACATCGATTAGCGTAATGTTATGATTACAAGTCGCAATAAATGATTTTGCTAATATATTATTTTGAATAAAAATTTTATAAAAACAAATAAAAATGAAATGAATAAATTTTATTCATTCTTTGTTTTTTTCTATTATTTTTTCTATTATTTGAATAAAAGGCGTATCGTATGTAATAGTTAAATAATAATTTATATATATATGTATATATTGAAATTAATATATATATATATATATACGCACATATGTGCATAAGCATATATAAAATTTACAAAAAGTAGGTACTTATTAGCCTTGCTACGCTACTGCCTTCTGCTACGGAAGGCCAGAAAGCATTTTCAGGCGGCATCTCGCGTATACCGGCACGGTAGAGGAACAAGGAGAACACGTGATTATCGGTCCTTGTCTCTCTACCGTGCGTCCGCGTGAGCAATGCAATGGTGTATGTACGTGTACAGACATGCACCACTACATAAAACCCGAGAATTGGTTTCTCGGCGTTGGCAACACTAAAATCGAAGTTTCGCGTTGTCACCGCGCGAGGTCTCCAACATCAATTCGGAGTTTGGCCGGCCGACCTGTTGACCCTTAAGCGGGGTCTACAATGGCAGCAGGAGTGCAGAGTACAAGAGTAAGCAGGGGGTCAATTGTGTAATTTTTTCTAAAATGAAAATGTGAAAAGTGAAAAATTTCACTTTAGAAAAAGTTACACAATCGACGCCCAGTAAGCAATACGAAATGGGATTCGCTCATTTCGGGAGTAACGGAATGAGCCAATCCCATTTCGTACTGCTTACTACTTACTCTTGTACTCTGTACTCCTGCTGCCATTGTAGACCCCGCTTTAGATTGAGGTTAACCCACAGGCAGCATATAGAAGCTCTCTCTCTCTCAAAATATAAAGTAAATAAAATTAAATAAAATAAAGAATATAGAATAAAATTTAATGAAGTTAATTGATTAAAAAATAAATTCTGTGTTGTACGATAACCGAGATAAATGGGTTTATACGTAAGTAAGTATATGTAATATTTTGAGTCTACACAATGAATCATACAAAATAATAACATTCGACATTAGTTTTCTAAGTTAATACATTTTAAACATTAATAAATTTTATTATTTATTGTATGCAGATTTAATTAAATCTTAATTTTTAAATTACTTATATTTAATATTTGTAAATCATCAGCAGTTACGACAACTAGTTTTACATATTTCTTAATAAAATTCACACATTTCTTAATAATTAGTTAATATCTATTTCTCTCTTATCGACATCTATATATTATACCAGATTGAAGCAATATCATGTATGCAAAATCATTTTTTTCAATAAAAAAATATAAATAATATATACGTATCTTATATTTTAATTCTTGCACTTAAAGAAAGTTTCAAAGGCCTCGTAAATAGATGATTTTTACAAATAGATGAATTATTTTCTTCTACTAAACTGCTGGCGATGGAAGTATGTAAGTAATGTTTTTAAATACATATTTTTTTCTCTTTGTCGTATATTTCTATTTAAGGTTCTATTTTTCTTTCTGACCATTTTTAATTTCTTCTTTAACATAGCTTCTTTTGTATTCATGAGCTCACAAAACATGCTTGCCTGCTGATTTAATCGTTCTTGTGATTTGTTAAATTCATTTATTCTCTTCTTTAATTGTTGATTTTCTTCTAACAACGCATCATATTTTGCATATTTGGAACCTACAATATTTTATAGATTCTTCACTTATAAAGTACATACTTAATTGTATATAAATATTTAATTCTTTTATTTTGTTGAAAACAACACATACATTTCACACATCCATTCGCTGAAGCAATTTCATTGTTATTTTTCACTATTAAATTTCCTTGATTTTGAACAACAGTATTACTTTGATCATCTATAATAAATGCTTTTATTATTTTGTGTAATAATTATATATTGCTGAAACTACACAGCTGTCATTTTGAATGCACACAGTTATTGAGAAAACAAAAATTGTGTTAGAAAGAGGAAAGTCTGCAGTTTTTAATGGATATAAATAAAATGTTTGTATACTAGTTTATTTTATTTTGATAAAAAGTAATGAAAAAAATTCTGATAATTACATAAAATCACATAAACTAATGACAAATATTTTCAAAGTGCACACCATTTGAATTTGTACAAAATTCTGTTCTTTTATGAAAACTCATAAAAACATTTTCTAATATGTCATTTTTAATGTTATTGCTGATCCTTTTAATAGCTGCTATTAAATATTTTGGCACTGTTGAAAATATTTATCATTAATTTATGTGATTATTAGCACTTTTTTCATTACTTTTTATCAATAAAATAAACTGATATACAAACATTTTATTTATATCCATTAAAAACTGTGGACTTTCCTTTTTCCAACACAATTTTTGTTTTCTCAATAGCTGCATAAATTAAAAAATAACAGCTGATTAGTTCCTGCAATTTCTTACTTGACACCCTGTATAAGATATAATAATTTAATTCAAATTTTCTATTCATTACAATACCTTGTGATGATTATGATTTATTTAATATGCAAATCCTAATAGATATATTACTGTATACATTTTACTTACTTATATCTCCTTTATTTATTGATTTGTCTCCTTTAAAAATAATGATATTATTTCGAGCACCTGTAATAAATGACTTATTTTTGCAAGGACATATATATATATATATATTGTATTAATTATATTAAATACAATCCAATAAATAATTTTAATTACAATTAATTAATGAAAGGCTCGTATAAATTAACAAAATTAAACAAATCAAATATAGTAGGCCAACTGAACGAGCAAATAAATAAGGTGTAAAAATTTATTAATAGTTAAATAATTAAATTAACATTCCGTTACAGAATCGATATAAATTGTAAACGTTTCGACTGCACTACAGTCTTTATCAATACATAAAAGTTAAATATTAAAATACAAAGTTAGTTAAATATTAAAAATAAAATTAAAACGATTCTTCGCTGTTGACCAATAGATATGCAAGGCGATTGGTCTGAGATGCCAAGTTATGCGACATTTAAACATGATTATCGTTTTAACAAGTCCTTTTTCCCGATATTTCAAGTGTGTGTTGCGAAGTCTGAATAACAAATGTCAGGACAATGATAAATATTTTCAACAGTGCCAAAATATTTAATAGCAGCTATTAAAAGGATCAGCAATAACATTAAAAATGACATATTAGAAAATGTTTTTATGAGTTTTCATAAAAGAACAGAATTTTGTACAAATTCAAATGGTGTGCACTTTGAAAATATTTGTCATTAGTTTATGTGATTTTATGTAATTATCAGAATTTTTTTCATTACTTTTTATCAAAATAAAATAAACTAGTATACAAACATTTTATTTATATCCATTAAAAACTGCAGACTTTCCTCTTTCTAACACAATTTTTGTTTTCTCAATAACTGTGTGCATTCAAAAATGACAGCTGTGTAGTTTCAGCAATATATAATTATTACACAAAATAATAAAAGCATTTATTATAGATGATCAAAGTAATACTGTTGTTCAAAATCAAGGAAATTTAATAGTGAAAAATAACAATGAAATTGCTTCAGCGAATGGATGTGTGAAATGTATGTGTTGTTTTCAACAAAATAAAAGAATTAAATATTTATATACAATTAAGTATGTACTTTATAAGTGAAGAATCTATAAAATATTGTAGGTTCCAAATATGCAAAATATGATGCGTTGTTAGAAGAAAATCAACAATTAAAGAAGAGAATAAATGAATTTAACAAATCATAAGAACGATTAAATCAGCAGGCAAGCATGTTTTGTGAGCTCATGAATACAAAAGAAGCTATGTTAAAGAAGAAATTAAAAATGGTCAGAAAGAAAAATAGAACCTTAAATAGAAATATACGACAAAGAGAAAAAAATATGTATTTAAAAACATTACTTACATACTTCCATCGCCAGCAGTTTAGTAGAAGAAAATAATTCATCTATTTGTAAAAATCATCTATTTACGAGGCCTTTGAAACTTTCTTTAAGTGCAAGAATTAAAATATAAGATACGTATATATTATTTATATTTTTTTATTGAAAAAAATGATTTTGCATACATGATATTGCTTCAATCTGGTATAATATATAGATGTCGATAAGAGAGAAATAGATATTAACTAATTATTAAGAAATGTGTGAATTTTATTAAGAAATATGTAAAACTAGTTGTCGTAACTGCTGATGATTTACAAATATTAAATATAAGTAATTTAAAAATTAAGATTTAATTAAATCTGCATACAATAAATAATAAAATTTATTAATGTTTAAAATGTATTAACTTAGAAAACTAATGTCGAATGTTATTATTTTGTATGATTCATTGTGTAGACTCAAAATATTACATATACTTACTTACGTATAAACCCATTTATCTCGGTTATCGTACAACACAGAATTTATTTTTTTAATCAATTAACTTCATTAAATTTTATTCTATATTCTTTATTTTATTTAATTTTATTTACTTTATATTTTGAGAGAGAGAGAGCTTCTATATGCTGCCTGTGGGTTAACCTCAATCTAAAGCGGGGTCTACAATGGCAGCAGGAGTACAGAGTACAAGAGTAAGTAGTAAGCAGTACGAAATGGGATTGGCTCATTCCGTTACTCCCGAAATGAGCGAATCCCATTTCGTATTGCTTACTGGGCGTCGATTGTGTAACTTTTTCTAAAGTGAAATTTTTCACTTTTCACATTTTCATTTTAGAAAAAATTACACAATTGACCCCCTGCTTACTCTTGTACTCTGCACTCCTGCTGCCATTGTAGACCCCGCTTAAGGGTCAACAGGTCGGCCGGCCAAACTCCGAATTGATGTTGGAGACCTCGCGCGGTGACAACGCGAAACTTCGATTTTAGTGTTGCCAACGCCGAGAAACCAATTCTCGGGTTTTATGTAGTGGTGCATGTCTGTACACGTACATACACCATTGCATTGCTCACGCGGACGCACGGTAGAGAGACAAGGACCGATAATCACGTGTTCTCCTTGTTCCTCTACCGTGCCGGTATACGCGAGATGCCGCCTGAAAATGCTTTCTGGCCTTCCGTAGCAGAAGGCAGTAGCGTAGCAAGGCTAATAAGTACCTACTTTTTGTAAATTTTATATATGCTTATGCACATATGTGCGTATATATATATATATATATTAATTTCAATATATACATATATATATAAATTATTATTTAACTATTACATACGATACGCCTTTTATTCAAATAATAGAAAAAATAATAGAAAAAAACAAAGAATGAATAAAATTTATTCATTTCATTTTTATTTGTTTTTATAAAATTTTTATTCAAAATAATATATTAGCAAAATCATTTATTGCGACTTGTAATCATAACATTACGCTAATCGATGTACAGCATTCATCTTATAAGATTTCCATGTGTTACCACAGATTAATAGACAGATCGCCAAAGGTCTGGATGAAGGAGAGACCAGCATTTCTCACTGATTTCAGCGCCATATTGTAGTAGTGGTCAATGCAGTAACTATTAATACGTTCCCAAGATAAGAGCGTCTCATGCTCATGAACTCGTCCGGCGGCATGTACGAGATTTATCTTTTCGTAGCGTTCGCGTATTTCGGAAAGGACAGAATTTTATGATGTTATAAATAAATAAATAAATAAAATATTAACCTGACCTATTATAATTATTTTTTAATAAATGTTTCATTATTATTATCATCTAAGTCTAAGTCGTTTAATTAATTTTTAGTTTTTTAATAATTAATTTAATTTATTCTAATCATTTCAATATGTGAAAAATACTAATACGTATACGTTTTATAATGAATTAATATATTTCGAGAGTCGAATTATATATTTTTAATAATATAAAAGTGTTCAAAAATTATATTTGACTTTTAATTTTAATTATTTTAGCAAAGAGTTCCGAAATCTCTTACACACATAATAGGGATTTTGTTCATCCATATAATTCGCAATTAAGTATATATGTTAATTATTAATTTTAATAAAATACAAAATTAAAATTAAAGGTCAAATATAATTTTTGAACATAAATATATTTAATTTGTTATAAAACGTATACCCGTGATAGTATTTTTCTCGTACAAAAATAACTAGAATAAATTAAATTACTCATAAAAAAATAAAAAAATAATTAAATAATTTATATTTTATATGATAATAATAAAACATTTTATAAAAAAAACAGATTCAATAAATATAAGTATATATATAACATGTACTTATATTTATTGAATCTGTTTTTTAATAAAATGTTTTATAAGCTTAGAAAACTTGACTTCGACGTAACTAGCAAATTTTATTTAATTATTTCACGACGGTTTGACGTAATAAAATGTTTTATTATTATTATATAAAATATAAGTTTAAATTCTTTAATTAATTTTTAATCTTTTATGATTAATTTAATTTACTCTAATTATTTTTGTACGAGAAAAATACTATCATGGGTATACGTTTTATAATTAATTTAATATATTTGTGTTTAAAAATTATATTTGACCTTTAATTTTAATTTTTATTTTATTAAAATTAATAATTAACATATATACTAAATTGCGAATATATGGATGAAAAAAATCCCCATTATGTGTGTAAGAGATTTCGAAACTCTTTGCTAAAAAATAATTAAAATTAAAAGTCAAATATAATTTTTAAACACTTTAATATTATTAAGAATATATAATTCGGTTCCCGAAATATATTAATTCATTATAAAACGTATACGTGATATTATTTTTCTCATATAAAAATGACTAGAATAAATTAAATTAATTATTAAAAAACTAAAAAGTAATTAAACGACTTAGACTTAGATGATAATAATAATGAAACATTTTATTAAAAAAAGATTCAATAACTAGTAGGTCAAGTTATAATTTTTTATTTATTTATTTATAACATTATGAGCTATTAAGCTCATCATCTCGTTCGCTCTCTGTCTTGCTTTCATTCGGCAAGTCACAAACGATATATGATACTCGTATGTTCCTACTTCAACTCTCGAGAATCTGAAACAAACGAAACTCGTGTCCAATATACAGGGTGTCCGGTAACTAACAGACCAATGATTACAAATGGATTCTTTGGTCAATTTGGGAACGATTTTTCTTCAGCGAAAATGTCGAAAAAGGTCATCATTTTTTACAACTTTCCAATCTTTGTCATTATATATCTTTATAACTAAGCCTTAAATTAAAATTTTATTATAGTAAACTCTACCTGAAATTAACTGAAGAATGTAATTATGTTAGACTTTTAACTCCAAAACGTTTAGTTTTCAAAAAACCTATTTTTTTCAATCGCTTATAACTCGAAAATTATTGACTTCTCTACATTTTTGCTAAGGAAAAATCGTCTCCAAATTGGCCAGAGAATCCGCCCTTAATCATTGGTCCGTTAGTTACCGGACACCCTGTATATATTATATAAAAGTGTATAGCACGTCAGAAGCTTGTGAGCTTACAGCGATAAGTAAAAACAATTGCGTATCTATTTCATTGCGTTTATCTGTTTAAACGCGCGCTTTAATTTTTCCAACGTTTTTGCCTGTTTATATTTTAAAGGTCCTCTCTTCTAAAAATCTTGTTTTAAAGATCCTCTCCGC